GGCTGAGGGGCAGTCTGCCTTGTGTTACAAAATGTTTATCAGTAAATTCTGCCCTGCCTGGAGCCAAGGATGAGTACAAAATGACTGTAGGAAAGGATGGCTCAGACCAAAGAGTACAAATGCAAAGAGGGGCCTGGGTCCCCACTCTGTCCCAGCAAAAGCAGCTTTTAAACATGTCTTACAATATCTCATCCTCCTCATCGCTGGCATTATAGGCATGTAACATACTATCTGGCTGTCATTTAATTTTTTGAGCTTTTTATGCATGCTGGATATATTAATTCCTTGTTAAACAAATAGTTGCCAAGGATTTTCTCCCATTCTGTAGACTGTCTCTTTGTTAATTGTTTTTTTGTAGAAGCCTTTTAATGTAATATCATTTATACTTCAAAAACAAAATAACCAAGGATATGCTGGACATCTAAATGAAAACAATAAAGCGAAGAAAAATTATAGAGGATACTAAAAGATGAAAAGAACCTTCCATGTTTATGAGCAGAAGAATAATACTCTGATAATATTATGTAATCTATAGATCCAATGCAAAATTCCAATATTACTCACAGAAATTAGAAAAAAAACCATAAAAGTCACCAAAGGAATCCTGAGAAAAGAACACAATGTTAGAAGATTAAAACTAGGTTTTTACATCAAAGTCCAGGAATACTACATTAAGCCCAGGGCATCTTATGCCAAATTAAGAGACAGGGTGAAGGCAAGCTGAGAAAGATTTATCACATGGCAGTCATGGAAAGTACATTTTCAGTTGTCTTCAGATATACAGACACTGGCCTCTACTTAAATTCAGAGAATTGAGGGTAGGGTAGGAAGAAAGATATGCATAGTTAAAACAATCAAGGTATGGTGCCATACCTTGATTGTTTGGTCTCTGTCTCTAGAGAAATTTTAAGTTTACCGCTGGAATGGAACATGAACAAGATTCCTGGCAGTTCATTTCTGGAGCTTTGGCTATTTATTCTAAGATGATAAGAACATGGCATTGCTCTCTCTCACAATATGCTTATCCTGTTCTTTCTGGGGTTCAAGGTGATTGTAAAATGCATGCAGCAGAAAATAGCTCACATCAAGGAGTACAGATGCTGCCGAGGACCAAGCCTGAGATCTGCAGATTGTGGTTCAAATCCAATCCAGGCAGGACTCTATCTCCAATTAAGCACCAAAAAGCTGGAAGTGGAGATGTGGCTCAAGTAGTAGAACACCAGCCTTCAGCATAAAAGTTAAGGGACAGCACCAAGACCCCGAGTTCAAGCTCTAGTACCAACACACACACAAACACACACACACACACACACACACCGTAAAAAAAAAAAAAGAGCATAGATGATAAGGGGAGAGAGAAATCTGAGTGTCCAGCTTTTCATTAATTTACAAGGCCAAGCAAAAGAATCTTTGAAGTTGCCTCCTACAGTGTCACCATACCTAATTTCAGCCAGACCTAGCAACTCACACCCAGCTACTTGGGAGGCAGAGATTGGGAAGCTAGCCAGTTCAAGGCCAGCCCAGCCCCTCCCTGCTAAATCAGCAAGACCCTATCTCAACCCACAAGGGGGGAATGGTGGTATGTGCTGTCATAACTATGTGGAGATACATGTAGAAGGACTGTAGTCCAACTGGCCTAGGCAAAAATTAGAGGCCCTATATAAAAAAATAATTAAAACAAAAAGAGCTAGAGTGCATAGCTCACGTGGTAACACATGCCTACCAAGCAAGAAGTCCTAACTAAACCATATTATTGCAAGAGAGAGAGAGAGAGAGAGAGAGAGAGAGAGAGAGAGAGATTGCGATTTTAAATTATATTACAAAGCCACAGCAACAAAAACAATATGTTACTGGCACAAAAATACACACATAAATCAGTGAAATAGAAGACCTAGAAATAAGCCTACCTGATTATAGCCCTCTGATTCCCAATGAAGATGGGAAAAACACTGGTGAAAGACAACCTCTTTCCCAACAGTACTGGGAAAACTAGAGATCCATGTAAGACAGAAACTGGAACCTATTTTTCACCCTATATAAAAATCAACTCAAAATGGATAAAGACCTAAATGTAAGGACCCGAAACTTTGAAAATGCCAGGAGGCAGTTTATCTATTGATGAAGATATAGACACAGGCAGAATTTTTTTTTAAACAGGACTCTAATAGTTCAAGAAATAATGGTGAGTTTGTAAAACAAATGGTTTAAATAGGGATACAGATGGACCCATTGCAACAATGGGATGTACAAGATATTATGTCGAAAAAACGAACTTTACAACTTTGATGTGCGGCGGGGGGGGGGGGGGGGGGGGGAGGATGATAAGGGGAAACAAAGGAGGAGGGTAACAATGCTTGATAAGAAATGTACTCATTACCTTACCCATGTAATTGTAACCCCTCTGCACAGTATTTTCACAATTAAAAAAATAATAATAATGGTGAGTTTGTATACAATGCTGAGAAGGCTTAATTATATAGACTACAGAGTGAAAACATCAACCTTCATAAGTAAGTAACACAGTTAATAGAACTTAGGAAAATGAAAGAGAGAAGTATCAAAGAGAAGTTGAAAGGTAGTAAAACTTCTCATATAATGAGAAGTCAAGAGATTCTACTAAAAGATGATAGAACAAGAAATACTAAGTATTTCCTATTACTTAAAATCATACAGATTCAGTAGCATGTGCCTTTAGACCCAGCTACTTGGGTGGCTGAAGCAGGAATATCACTTATTTCCAGTGATTCAAGGTCAGCTTGTGAAATATTATAAGAACTTGTATAAAGTACAAAATAATCAGAAGAACTAAAATTATTAATATTACTATGTGTGTTTGCTGACTGGGAAAGAGTATTTTTGGAATGTGTTTGAATGTCCAAACTTTCCTACTGTTTACAATTGGCCAAGTTTACACATTTATAAATTCTTGCCTGACTCTTTTGCATACAATTTGATTCAAATGCAGAATTATAGGGGTTAATGTCTATATCTCTAAAAGTGGAATTTATTAAGTTATCTTCCAAATCAATAATATTTGAATATACAGCAATGAAAAATCTAAAAAAAAATAAGAATTCCATTTAAAATTACAAAAAATAGGACATTAGGATAAAGTTTAATCAGAGAAAGATATAATAGATAAACTAAAAACTCTCCATTATAGTTTCAATGTGTCTCCCAAAAAAGATGAGGGAAGGGGAAGCCAAGGAAGGAAATTAAGGGAAGGGAAGAGGAGGGGAGAAAGAGAGAAAGAGGAATGAAAGCAGGCAAGCAAGCAGGCAGGCAGTCCACAGAATGGGAAAAACATTTGCAAATTATGTACTCCATATCCATCAGGATAACTGTAATTAAGAAAATGCAAGGTCGTTTTGGCAATATGGAGAAATTAGATGTATCGTACCTTGCAGACAAGAATGTAAAATGGTATAGCTGCTATAGAAAAAAGGTGGGTAGTCCCTCAAAGTTGAAACACTGAATTGATCCAGCAATTCTACTCTTTGCACTCCTCTGTGTATATCTGAGAAGTAAAAACCTATGACCACACAAAAGCCTGTAGATGAACGCTAATGAGCATCATTGTTCAAAACACTAGACATTAATGATTTATGGAAACAATCCAAGTATTTATCAACCAATAACTATTTAAACAAAATGTGGCATAGGTACCCTGGAATGTTGTTACACTTAAAAAAAAAAAAAGGGGATGAAGACAAGCTACAACACAGATGAACCTTGAAAGCATTACGCTAAATTAAATAAACCAATATACATATTATTACATGTAGAAGGGATACCAAGGAACAGGCAAATTGGTAGAAACTGACAGATTACTGGTGATGCGCAAGAGACTGAAGCAAAGGAGGGAACAGTGAATGACTGCTTATAGGGTATTCTGTTACCGTTTATGGAGATGAAAATATCTGAATGAGATAGTAAGGATAGCTTCATTGTGACTGTACTGGCAGTTATTGACTTGTATACTCCCAAATGGCTAAAATGAATCATTTTATATTATTCAAATTTTACTTCAATTTTACTTCAATTACAAAGAAGGAAAGTTTCCTTTCCATTACTAATTATTTTCTACAACCTAATTTTTCCATGCTAAACTAGGTAAATAAATATACTGCCTTCTTAACTAATTTAATAACACTAAGAGTTACTATTAAAAAGAAAACAGATTAGTAGACTTTTTTTTGGGGGGGAGAGTCAATCCTGGGGCTTGAACTTAGACCTTGGAACACCATCCCTGAGCTGCTTTTTGCTCAAGGCTAGCATTCTACCACTTCAGCCATAGTGCTGGCTTTCAGCTTTTTCTGTTTATGTGGTACTGAAGAAACAAACCCAGGGCTTCATGCATGATAGGCAAGCAATCTACCATTAAGCCATATTGCCAGCCCAGATTAGTAGACTTTAATTATACTTTATATATAAGTCTTGTCCACCCTAATCATCTTTCTTTCTTCACTCATTTATGTTATAGTTCCATTATAGATATAGTTTGGTGCTCATTAGCATGAATAAAAATTTAAGAAGCTGGCAATGGTGGCTCACACCTTAATCTTAGCTACTCATGTGGCTGAGATCAGACCACAGTTCAAAGCCAGGGCAGGAAAGTCCTTGAGTCTTATTAATTAACCACCAAAAACAACCAGAAGTGGGAGCTGTGACTAAAGTAGCAGAGTTCTAGGCTTGAACAGTACCCACACCCTAAGTTCAAGTCCCAGGATCAGCACACACACAAAAAGTGACTAAGTCCTACATACTTCTAACTTCTGAATAATAATAGATTTTTAAGTAAAAACATAAATAAACAAAATATGTAAGTTGTTTCAGGGAAAATTGTGGCCAATTACTAAACAACAACAGTGCACTTGATAGAGGTTTTTAATTTGTAGTGTTTTCCTCCAATTGAAGGTGTTAAATGGTAAATTCAATTCCTCAGTTTCTATTATTTTATTGTTCAGATGTTTCACATTATACTTATGAAGAATACTTACTTATCAAGGAAGTCTTTGTCCACTATCGCAGAGATGTCAAGAAGAGGATTTCCCATACCAAAGAGGATATTTTCACTAAAAAATACAAAAGCAAATAACTTAGAAATACTTATAGAAGTCAGTTGTTATGTAAAATGAACAAAAATGTAAAAATAAAATCCATGCTGCAAATAAACATAACATTTTCGTTGCTTAAACTTTTTTTTTTTTTTGGGTCCGGTCCTGGGGCCTGAACTCTGGGCCTGGGCACTGTCCCTCAGCTCTTCAGCTCAAGGCTAGCACTCTACCACTTGAGCCACAGCGCCACTTCCGGCTTTTTTCTTTTTGCTTATGTAGTGTTGAGGAATCGAACCCAGGGCCTCAGGCATGCAAGGCAAGCGCTCTACCACTGAGCCACCTTCCCAGCCCTTGTTGCTTAAACTTTTATCAATTACATGCAAAAGTATATTTTAGAGATAATACAAAGATATTTAGCAAAAAAGATGATTTTTTTTTTTTTTTGTCTGTCATGGGGGCTGAACTCTGGGCCAGGGCGCTGTCCCTCAGCTCTTCAGCTCAAGGCTAGTGCCCTACCACTTGAACCACAGCGCTACTTCCGGCTTTTTTCTGCTTATGTGGTGCTGAGGAATCAAACCCAGGGCCTCATGCATGAGAGGCAAGCACTCTACCTCTGAGCCAACTTCCCAGACCAAAAGATGATGATTTTTAAATTGGATGAAAAAATATAAAAACAAAAGAAACTAGATGAGGGCTTAAAAAATAGTTATTCAAGCTAATGATTAAAATGAATTTCAATATTTATTTAAAATGACTATTACATGCCTGGTTCACATCTGTAATCTTAGCTGCTTGGGAGGCTGAAAATGCTGAGATTTCAGTTTGAGGCCAGCCTAGGTACAGAAAAAAACCTCAAGAGACCCCTCCTACTCAATAAAGATCTGGACAAGGAGATGCATGCTTATGATCTGAACTACCAAGAAGCCTAACACAGGGGGATCATACTCAAGCAAAAGGCCAAGCAGAAAACCAAACCATATCTCAAAATAAGCAAAAAATCAGGGATAGAAACATGGCTCAGCATTAAGCATGTGTGCTAAACAAGTTTAAGGTCCTGAGTTCAAACTCCAGTACTGAAAAAAACCAAAAACAAAAACAAGGGATATGGTAATAAATGCCTATAATCCCAGCTACCCAGGAGACAAGGACTGTCGTCTCAGGCCAGCCTATATGAAAAACAACTAAAGCAAAAAGACTGATTGATTGCTTGAAGACAGGATCTTGCTATCTAGCTCCAACTGGCGATATCATTATGTAAGCATAGTTAGCCTGAAATTTAAGATCTTGCTGAGATTACAGGTGTGTGTCACTGTGTCCAGCTCTAAATGTCCCATGATAAGACATTATAACTAATTTTAAGAGTTGCTTTGTACATTAACTTCATCAGCTGATGTCAATCATCAATCAGTTAAGACAATAAATAGTATAGGTGACATATTTTATGATTTCATGTATAAAACACTCTCAAAGTGACAAAGTAATAGATCAGTAAATGCCTGATAAAGGCATTTGTGAGGAACCAGAAACTCTTGACTTGGCATCCTGAGTGTGATAATAGTTATACAAATCTGGACATGATCAAATTTATAAAACTGTATACCACCACCATTTCCATAAAACAGGGCATACAAAAACTAGTGAAATTCTAGTAAGATCTATAGTCATCTTATAGTGCTATACAACATTAATTCCCTGGTTTTCATAACATCCTATGGCTATATAATTCATTGGGGAAAATAAGTAATTCGTGTAGAGGAACTCTGTATTTCTTGTCACTTCATTTGAAATACTTCAAAAGAAAGAGAGAAAGATATAAAAAAATTAGAGATCCAGATAATAATTTAGTGGTACAGCATGTAGTTAGCATGCAAAAGGCCTAAGTTCAATCCCCAGCACTGCCAAAAAAAACCATTAGGATGACATCATTTGGACTGACAGAACAAGAACTTCCAAAACAACCACTCTTCCATAAAAACAACAATAGTACTCGCCAATTTTTTCTTCTTTTTTAGAACTCTAAAATATTAACCAAAGGCTTACAATAATTTGAAGACCTCTAATTCAAAAAAAGAGAGGGGAATTATTCCAAACTAAGGAATAAAACGTAAGATGGTTTACATCTCAAATGGACAAACAATGGACAGTCAATCAGTTCCCATGAGATTATGAGATTATCTTTCATGACAGATTTCTTCTTTTGAGGGAAGAATAACTGAGTTTATGGTTTTGTTTTTCAAAACTCTCTTTCAGCCAGATGTGGAGAAAAAGAAAGAAGAAACAAAAACCCATCTGATTCCAGATCTGATGATTTTGAAGAAGGCAGCAGGCTACCAGGAAATCTTCCCCACAGAATGGGCTCAATCAATCATTTGCATGGCCTTAGAATTCCTACATGTTAGGTAGATGAGGAAAGTAAAAGTCTGCTCTAAGAAGTCCATTACTGGATGCACACTTTGATAGAAGAAAGCCACCAAGAAATGGAGGGCTGACAGTGGACAAGCAGATGAAAGCGTACATATAAACAATGATCTGGTTCTTCACAAATAAATGAAGTCATGCTGAGAAATACCTCTGCAAGGATCTGGAATGACTGAACTACAGTCTTATAAATGACATTTGTCTCTTTACTACATAATTAAACATTAATATAGTTTAACAAGTAAGTAACATTTAAGCTGAAAAACTGACTTATATTTCCATAATATGAAGAAAATAAATAGAAGGCTATGTAAAGCCCACTGAATCTCAGTAAAAACAGCAAGTTTTGTGATATTTTTAATTTGCTCTATTTCCACTCCTCTTCCTCCATATCCACAGTGGTCTTCACAGTAGAATCCAGGTGCCAAGCAGCTAGTAGAGGGGTGAGAACTGGGTTGGCGCTCTTTCAAAGCCCCATTTGAGAAGTGCTATTATTTCAGCTAACTGGCAGTTCTCTGAGAAGTCTCACTCCTGAGGCTTCCTGTTATTTGACCTGATTCTGAGCTTGCCTAGTGCTTACAATCTTTAACTCAAGGGTATTTGTCATAAGCAACCAACTCCAATTGTTTAACATCCCTGATGCCTAAAGTAGTTGGGGCAAACAACAGCTATCCAAAAATAGAAAAGGAGAATAAACAACCATAGGAGTTTTGAAAGGTTCTGAAAATCCCTAAGAATCCTGAAGGCCATTAGCATATGTTCAGGGCTGTGGGCATTCTCAAAAAAAAATCTGAGAAGACCTGAACTGAGCGCTAGGTTCTACAGGAAGGGCAATGCAAAGCTTCAAGGCAGTTTGAGAGTTAAAAGCATGTCCCAACAAGCACATAGTGCCGCTCAGAAAAGACTGGTAACAGTAACAAATATGGACAAGGATGTGAAGAATAGTAATCTGTACACATTGATTTGGGGAGTGCAAAATGAGGTCACTTTGGGAAACAGTTTGGCAGTTCCTTAAAAAAGTAAACAATTGCTTTGTGGACTTTGGGCTTATGTGCCTCTACTAAATGGATTTTTGAAGCAAGGACACAGAATAGAAGCTAACTGGCCTATTCCACACATTGGCCAGGTAGTCTAGTACCTCCAAGAACAGTGAGTAAACAAATAAACACCATATAACCTAGAAAGTCCACACTTAGTAAAAATAAATATCGCAATACAAAACTTGTATGTGAATGGTATTATTTATAGAGGCTAAACTAAAAATTATCCAAATGCCTATAATTGAGAAATGAACAAACATCCATATAATAAAATATTACTTAACCATAAGAAGGAATGAAATCCTCATGCTACAAACAAAATGAGCCTTAAAAATACTACTCAAAAAAAAAAAGCCAGGAGCTAAAAACCAAATATTGTATGATCCTACTCATGAAATGTGCAGAATAGCAAATTCAAGAGGCAGAAAACAGATTAGTGGATTGGGGGGGCGGGGAGAGGACTGCTAATGCATATGAAGTTTCACTTAGAAGTGATGAAAATGTTCTGAAATTAGATAGTGATGATAGTTGTACAACCTTGTGAGTATAACAAAAACTACTACACCGTCCACTTTAAAACAGTGATTTTATAGTCTATGAGTCATACTTCAACTAAATACCTAAATAAAAAAAAAAAACAATTTGACTGCCAGGAGCCAGTGCTTAACAACTGTAATCCTTGCTACTCAAGAGGTTGAGATCTGAAGATCTCAGTTCAAAGCCAGCCTGTCAGAAAAGTCTCCAGGAGACTCTTATCTCTCCAATTAATCACCAGAAAACAGGAAGAAAAACTGTGGCTCAAAGTGGTAGAGCACCTGCCTTGAGCAAAAGAAGCTCAGAGACAGTACCTAGGCCCTGAGTTCAAGCCCTACAACCAACCAAACACACACACACACACACACACACACACACACACACACACAAATTTGACTTAGTATTTTTAAATCACTAAACTCAATTGCAGTATGAGGTTTTTTCTTAAAATATTGCTGAATGGACTTCATAAATACAAAAATACAGAAACAGATATAAAACTAACCTGTAACACTAATCTCAGTCACTATCAAAGTACTGAAACTAAATAATACATTCTCTGTATATGTGTTTCTAATATGTAAGAATACAATCCCTGGATACCATGACATTCAAACTATACAGACACACAAATTAGGACAGTTGTGTTAGCAGCAAGAATGTAATCCTAGTACCTCGAGGCAAATTGTAGGCCAAACTGGGCTATGAAGCAATGACCTGTACCAAAACAATCCACCTTTAACTACAAAAATTAAATAACAAACTTTACAATTTAAACTAAATTTAGAACATCAAAATTTTATGATGCTATTAAAGAAGAGTAGAGAATATTTTTGTATAGGAAATGCATATTAGAAAACAAGAAAGGCATATATACAATCAGTAATATAAATTTCTAGTTCAAAAAAAGAGAACAGTCAATTGACTAAAAAGAGTAAAAGAAAGAAAATAAAAAGATGAGAGCAGGAAGAAATAAAATACGAAATATATCACCAAAACAAATTCAACAAAATCAAAATATGCATT